CAAATATTATAATCAAATTTAAACTTAAAATTTAATAGTTAAATCATATTTTAATGTAATCATATTTTAATATAATTTTTATGTCATATTTTTGCCAAAGATAAATTAGTTGTAGTAAAAAATTTAGTTAAGAATCACATTCCCAATCATACGTTCAATGGTTAAAGCAAGTACAACGACTTAATTGCGTTCAACAACGATTGTATACAAGTTGTCATTCTCCTCTTCTGACAATTGCATATTTAGATAAAAATTATTAAGAAAACTAAGGTGGAATAACTAAAAGGAAAAAAAAAAACTCTCATAAAAGAGAAAAAACCTTAAAAAAAAAAAAAAAAAACCTTCTTCCATTTATAACCATCCAATCTAACTACAGAGAGGAGAAAAGCAATTATGACTAGAAAAAAAAGAAGAAGAAGAAGAAGAGAGAGAGAGGAAAAATTCAGGAGGTGGGGCCTTTATGGTCATAATTAAAAATGTAACAATTAAATAGAGCAATCTGTCGGAAGTAGTATATATCTACGGCGGGAACAGTCTGAAGTTCAATTTTTAAATGGCCAAAAGTGTTGATTGGAAAATTGGTGGCCACTCTTTTTAATTTTGCAGGTTGTCTTTTACAAGAGAGTATGAAAAAGTACGACCAAAAGCTTGGATGCCATTACTTTCTGCTTGATTTTTCTTAGGAATTAATTACATTAGGGAGGATAAAAGTGACTTCTATTTTATGACATGATTGATTTAGCAGGGACATGCATGTTAGCCTTGGGTTCAAAACAAACAGGTACCAATAATTCAGACAATGATGTGAAATTTGTTGCTGTTGATGATTATCAAGTGTGACCCATTGCGGTGTGCTGCGGTCCCCTAAAGTGGCTAACTTAGGGGCCCTTCATGCAACGCGACGTATAAGATTCATCATCACGGGAAAGTAAAACGCATCCACAGACACGGTCTAGTCTATACTTTTATTTAGGATTAATCTGGAGTTAGCTGGAACTCTCCGGGTAAGGGATGGCTACACGAACTCACTTCATACTGCTGCTTATGGTTGTTGTCATTGCTTCATCTGTTCAAGTCCATGGGAACCTCTCCCCTACTTACTACTCATCTACATGCCCCAAAGCATTGTCTATTGTTCAGGCGGGCGTGAAAGCTGCTATCAAAAAGGAAGCGAGAATGGGGGCGTCTTTGCTCAGGCTGCACTTCCATGATTGTTTTGTTAATGTGAGTCATTTTAACTTCCATCAATTCTCTCATGCGTTAGTAAAAATATATTGGATGAATCACATATGTATATATGCACAATGATCACAGGGTTGTGATGGGTCCATTCTGTTGGATGATAATGCTAATTTCAAAGGGGAGAAAACCGCAGGACCTAACCAAAACTCTGTTAGAGGATTCAATGTGGTTGATAACATTAAAGCTCAACTGGAGAAAGCATGTCCCAGAGTGGTGTCTTGTGCAGATATTCTTGCGATTGCTGCCAGGGACTCTGTTGCTATTGTCAGCACCCACCAACTTCCACTCTACCACTAATTAATTTTTACTTGCAGGATTGATTTAATTACCTTCAAAATTCAAGTGAATTTTTCACATTTGCAGTTAGGTGGCCCTTTTTGGAAAGTGAAGCTAGGAAGAAGAGATTCTTTGACTGCTAGCAGAGAAGCTGCTAACACCTTACTTCCTGGACCAAATTTCAATCTAAGTGCTCTCATTTCCAGCTTTTCTGTTCATGGACTCTCCTTGAAAGATTTGGTGGCACTTTCAGGTAACTTTATGTTATTTAGAAATACTGATTGATATTCAGTCCTTTTCTTATATTTATATATAATCCTATGTAGAATTAATCTTGTATCATATTAATTGTAGGATCACATACCATAGGTTTGGCTAGGTGCACAGTATTCCGATCACGAATCTATAATGACCCCAACATAGATGCCTCATTTGCCAAGTCGCTGCAGAAAAAGTGTCACAAAAGTGGAAACGATGATGTCACTGAACCCCTTGATTTCCAAACTCCGACCTGTTTCGATAAATTATACTATGATAATCTGTTAAAAAGGAAGGGTCTTCTTCATTCTGACCAAGAACTCTTTAAAGGCAGCTACACCCCTGCTAAATCTCTGGTTAAAAAGTATGCTCAAGATGCTTCTGCATTCTTCAAAGACTTTGCTAAGGGTATGGTCAAGATGGGGAACATCAAACCTCTCACAGGAACTGCTGGAGAGATAAGAATCAACTGCAGAAAAGCAAACTGATGGAGGGTTCTCTTCATCAGTCTATTGTAATAATTAGTGGCTGGAAATCAAATGTCTAGTATGTATGATGAATATTCATTGCTAATGAAGCAGTAATTAATAATTACCATGTATGGTGTATCCTTCAGTCCTAAAAGATGGGATTCGAGATTCGAAACTTTCCTCTTCATAAATTATAATCTGTTCAAAGAAAAATTAATAATTCCTGTGTTGTGGTCTTTGTGGGTAAAGTGGCAGGCTTAACAGTGCAGTCACCACTCACATCAGTTTCTACCTTTCATCGGTATGTAACATCTATAAATAAAATTAAAGGTTACATGGAATTTGAGGGCCGAACCTTGAGGCTTTAATATTTATTGGCTTCCTAACTAAATTTTGCTGCCCGTCAT